ACAGAAGATGTTGCTCCTGAGCAACAAAAGACCATAAAGGCATTGCGAGGTACTTTGTCAAAAATATATTTCCTGCTAAGTGAAGAGCAAGAGATTTCAAGTAAAAAGGTGCCCAAGCCCAACCCCCCCCCATCCAACGTAAAGTCTTTGTTTATGGATCCTTTCTTGTGGCTCTTGTTAGCCAGGTAATTGCGAAGGTTGGATCCTAAAATAATACTTTTGGCCAGATTTTGTGGCACTTTGGGGGCGTAACGTTATCGTCATGTGAACGACAAGTGTCCTAGGTGGGAAGTCTTGTGGTCCAGGCCGGAAGCGCCTGCCTTTGGGCTCGCCCCTGGGGCGAGTCCTCAGCAGGACGACAAGGGCCGAGGCGCGGCATGACCAATCGTACCGACTTATCAGTTCGATCGGTTATGCAGATAAGTGCGTTGCGAAATAAGTTAGAACTTTTGGACGCGAGACACGGGGGTGGAGGTAGCTCTTCGCCCTGTGCTTTTGTAGAGGTCGATACCTCTGTGATTCACAACGTCAACGTTCGCGAGCTTAAATAAAACACCACTCTAGTGGTGCAAATTTTAACTCATATCGCATTTTAGGACGTTAGTTAGGGAGTAGATTAGAAGTTGGTACGAGTGGAAATCGGCCCGAGAATCTGCAATACCAGAAGGAAGGTCCGAGCAGCGAAGCCGCCCGGCCGTGCCAGTCCTCGAGCCGCCGGGAGGCTGCTCATCGCCAACGTGGGTCGTGTGAGCGCCTGGGGGCGCACAGAACCACGGTCGTTCTCCAGGGCCTGGAGGGCCTCGGAGCTGGACGACAGACGGTCCTATCTTAGGACGAACGCACACGGAGCTGCCCACCACGACCATCAAGAAGTGACCGGGCGCGGTCAACATTGCGGCGGGGTGCGAGACTGGCTCCGCCCCACCCGGACCGCCGCCGTCACCAAGGACGTCGAGGACGCACCGTCTTCACATCCTAAGGATTAAGTGTGTATTCGGAGCAGAGCAGGACGCTCGATAGGGATGAGAATGATCCCTCAAACCATGGACTGATTATTTTCGCAAGGGTAGAGAGTGAAATAACCTGTTATGTTACTTTGCACGACGCCTCGAATTGTTCAGTTAAATGGTTAGACAATGTTATTGTTTGTCGCCGTTGAAAATGTGCGTTTCTGTTAAAACTTTCAGAATAAGTTCAGAGCATCTGTTTGTACAAGAGATTGGGTCAAATGGATGTCAATGAAGGTGTAAATGCAATGTGACCCGAAAATATTGTTTTCAGGGAGGGTCAAACAAGTCTATGCATGTTAGACGTAAATTAAGAGTGCCTTCGGCTTTTGAAGGAGGGAGGAATGTTGTGCCAAATTCACGTTGCCGTTCATTTTGCCCAACCGTCGTTAGTTTGGTTGCCGCAGTCACTTTAATTTCCGTCTTTTGGTAATCGCTACGTGTGTGTGTCGTGGTTCAAGTAGTGGAGCCTTGGGTCGAGGCTGGGAGCCGCCGGCCCCGCGCGGGCCAGCTGAGGCCCTCGCTCGGGGCCAGGGCGGCCCGCGACACCCAAGGGGCGCCTCACCGAGTCGTCCTCGTTTTAGCTACGCCGCTGGTGGCAGGCTACAAGCGACCGCCGAGGCTTCAGATTTTTAATAAGTCAGGTGTGCAGGGATGGCCCTGCCTTGTTTGTCAGCCCGAGAGTCGGCCCGCACGCGCCGCCGGGGCACGGCCAGGTGACCCTGGACCGGAAATGAACAGGTGCGAAAAGGCGGCCGCGGCCGGCGCCGCGGCCGGTCGCGCCATCGTGTCCACGAGGCCAAGCCGTGGCCTGAGGAAAATTCGAGCATAAAGGAAAGCCACCCGTCGAGTTGGCCACGGCGCTACAGTGCGAATAAGGTTTTGATACCTTTGAAGGAGCGGCGCGAGGGCGGGCGGCCCGTGCACCGCTCGACCCCTCCCCTCTCCCATCCCGCCTCTTACGGGGAACCACGGGATCCTTCGCACTGGAGTCGCCGTACGCGTCCTTCTGACTCGCGTAGAGATACACGCGGATCGTTTGCGTTTCCCTAAACCTTAGTAT